TTCCCCCCCAGTGAGGTGACGTTCCACGTCCCAAGAGCCAGATGTTGTGTGTGCGGACTGGGTCGCCGAGGTCTCCGCCTTCGACTGCCGCCCAGTCCTCTCTGCACCGCTTCACCACGGACCCCTCTGCAGGTGGTGGGCCCACAGGAGGGACTGCCCACGTCATCCCTTCGGGCTGAGCCCGGCCGGGCCCCGTGGGCTAAGGCCCGGCCACCAGGCGCTCGCATACGGGCCCCGACCCCAGGCCTGGCTCCAGGGTGGGGCCCCGGCTGCGCCATGCCGGGCGACGTCACTGTTTTCGTGTTAGTGCTGTCCATGGTGTCTTCTGGACTGCTCTTTGTCTGACTCGTCACCTGAGACCTGTCTGCCATGGGAGGCCCTACCAGGGGCATGAAGCCCCAGACAGCATAGCTCCCAGGATCATCCGAGTACTCAAACTCCCCCACCACGTTAAGGTGGCAGTCCAGGGGGGAGTTTTTCCGATAATGACAATGATAATAATGCTATGTATTATTCCGCTTATTATACGGCTTTGTACCAACAGAACACACACAAAATAAACTTTAGTCCACTTTTATGATGTCAAAAGGTTTATTTAATGATAGAAAATGAAATAGTTCCCAAAGGTTTTCCCGTGGCTATTTAAGTAACAGTCAAAATCCAAACCAAGTGGATCAGGTGAAAATCCACTGGAGGAACGCTAACTTTATGAAAAATGCTAATGAAGGATTTAGCATTTTACTTTGGACCAGAGCAGAGGAAATGGTCTGAAACAAGCGGCTGCTCCACCTGGTGACCCGTCCTGCTCCACCCAGAGGCTACTCCACCTGGTGACCCGTCCTGCTCCACCCAGAGGCTGAGGCTGCTGTGACCCATCCTGCTCCACCCAGAGGCTACTCCACCTGTGCTGCTGTGACCCGTCCTGCTCCACCCAGAAGCTACTCCACCTCTGCTGCTGTGACCCATCCTGCTCCACCCAGAGGCTACTCCACCTCTGCTGCTGTGACCCTTTCTGCTCCACCCAGAGGCTACTCCACCTCTGCTGCTGTGACCCGTCCTGCTCCACCCAGAGGTTACTCCACCTCTGCTGCTGTGACCCGTCCTGCTCCACCCAGAGGTTACTCCACCTCTGCTGCTGTGACCCTTTCTGCTCCACCCAGAGGCTACTCCACCTCTGCTGCTGTGACCCATCCTGCTCCACCCAGAGGCTACTCCACCTCTGCTGCTGTGACCCTTTCTGCTCCACCCAGAGGCTACTCCACCTCTGCTGCTCTGACCCTTTCTGCTCCACCCAGAGGCTACTCCACCTCTGCTGCTGTGACCCTTTCTGCTCCACCCAGAGGCTACTCCACCTCTGCTGCTGTGACCCTTTCTGCTCCACCCAGAGGTTACTCCACCTCTGCTACTGTGACCCTTTCTGCTCCACCCAGAGGCTACTCCACCTCTACTGCTGTGACCCTTTCTGCTCCACCCAGAGGCTACTCCACCTCTGCTGCTCTGACCCTTTCTGCTCCACCCAGAGGCTACTCCACCTCTGCTGCTGTGACCTTTTCTGCTCCACCCAGAGGTTACTCCACCTCTGCTGCTGTGACCCGTCCTGCTCCACCCAGAGGCTACTCCACCTGTGCTGCTGTGACCTGTCCTGCTCCACCCAGATTATTCACATTATTATCTTTTTAGAATGATCAATTTTATTTTTATTTTTGCTGCAACCGGACACATACATTTCTCCAACGGGGATCAATAAAGTCTCTATCCATCTGGTGCTCGACCAACTGAGCCACTGTCGTCTCTAATACCACCTCTACTTTCTGCCTTGTTTTTTGTCAATATCTTGCGCCTTTTCAATTCTCTTCCGGACTCGAACCATGGAGGCTGCGGTCGAGATGTTGAAATGTAAACCATAAGACACTCATACACATGGTAGAACGAGTAGTGACGAGCGCCTCTTCTCTGGAGAGAAAAGCTAAGGTTTAAAAACAAGTGATGTGTGTGGAGCTGATTTAAAGGACCAGCAGCACAAACATGTTCCATCGTGTTTGGACTTGAGAGGATTCTTTGGGCGTGGAGCAGAGAGACTGTCGTTATGTGTCTGTTATTACTGTAGTGTGTGAAAATATAGTCATTTACAGACATTGCTTTCTTGTGAATGCGTCATTAAATCTCAGACGTCCAATTATCACAAATAACCAGAGGTCCACGGGACATTCATGGACATTGGTCTCTCCATATGGACCATGTATGTGGATATTTTCATGTGTTTTAACTGTTGACTCTGATCTGTGGTGATTTCAATGGTTTTGTTAAGTCTCTGAGATGATGCTTTTGTGATTTTCGGGAAATACAAGAATAAATTACGATATTAGTCCGGTCCTCAGGTCTCTGCACTGGCTTCCTGTGGCTCAGAGAATAGACTTTAAAACAGCTCTGCTTGTTAGAAGTCTCTCCATGGCCTCGCACCAAAATATATTAGTGACATGTTAGTCCCATATGAACCAGCCCGGACTCTGAGGAGCACAGGGACTGGACTCCTGCTGGGACTCTGAGGAGCACAGGGACTGGACTCCTGCTGGGACTCTGAGGAGCACAGGGACTGGACTCCTGCTGGGACTCTGAGGAGCACAGGGACTGGCCTCCTGCTGGGACTCTGAGGAGCACAGGGACTGGACTCCTGCTGGGACTCTGAGGAGCACAGGGACCGGCCTCCTGCTGGGACTCTGAGGAGCACAGGGACTGGCCTCCTGCTGGGACTCTGAGGAGCACAGGGACTGGCCTCCTGCTGAGACTCTGAGGAGCACAGGGACTGGACTCCTGTTAGTGCCCAGAGTCAGAACTAAACATGGGGAGGCTGCTTTTCAGATTCATGCTGCTAAAATCTGGAACAGTCTTCCTGAAGATGTGAGACAGGCCTCCTCAATGACAATGTTTAAAACCAGGTTAAAGACAGTTCTGTTTAGCTGTGCTACAACTGAGGGATTTTATATTTTGATCTTTCTTTTTAATGTTCTGTGATTATTTATGATTTTAATGCTTTCTTATTTTGTTCAGCACTTTGAATTGCCTTGTGTATGAATTGTGCTATACAAATAAACTTGCCTTGCCTATATTTCGGTGACTTTTTAAAATCATCATGTAATTGTAGTATATTTCGAGTCCAGATGCTGTGAGTGAAACAAAACATAAGCAACGAGGCTTTGTAGTGTGTAAGTTTAATAATAATAACTTATTGTCTTCAGGGTTCAATGTTTATAGCAAATAAACGGCTTGATTGTCTTCTTAAAATGACCTTTGAATATATGTATAACATATATTTGCACTGACCCTGAGCCGCACTGACCCTGGGACACACACTAACTGTTCACTGGTTTGTAAATCTGGGCGTATGATTTCCTATTTTAAAACCAATCTAAAAAATCAGTAACAGCCCTTGGACAAGTCTGGTGGGCTGATTGCTGATTGCGTTGCCGCTGCAGATGAGTGTGATGGACTGATGCTGTTGCCGTGAGCGACACTTTCTCTTCTCAGCAATAAGGTCCTGGGTTCGAATCCCGGTCAGAACAGGGCCTTTCTGAGTAAAGGCAAAGGAGCACTTTATTAATCCCTGTAGGGCAATTCAATCCTCTGCATTTGACCCATCCTGATGCCGCGAAGGCTTACGTCAGGAGCAGTGGTCGCCGTAGTAACAGCGCCCGGGAACCCATCTCCAGATGTTGGTGCTCGGCTTGGTCAGGACCAGAGCTGGAGGATTTACCCTAGTGAGCATGTTTTTAGTGGTAGGGGAAACCGGAGTGCCCGGAGGAAACCTATGCAGGCACGGGGAGAACATGCAAACTCCACTCAGAAAGACCCGTTCCGACCGGGATTCAAACCCAGAACCTTCTTGCTGAGAGGCGAGAGTGCTAACCACTCAGCCACTGTGCTGAGTGGAGTTTACATGTTGTCCCCGTGCTTGCGTAAGTTTCCTCCAGGGGCTCCGGTTTCCTCTACCCCTAAGTACATGCACAGTAGGTCTGAATGTAACGAGTGAATGGCGTTGATTGAGGCTTTGATGGTCCAGAGTGTTCTGCGTCTCACTTCTGTCATCACCGTGTGTGGATGGATAAATATCTGATTCTGAACATTATAAAAACGCTTGGGTCTGTACCTCATGTGTAAAATGCGCAGTATAAATAAACTTACATACTTAGTTCTTTCTGTTTTCAGCCCAAATTTCTGCTTTAGCTTCATTTCAATCTGGAGAGTGCTGTAGATTATAAAAACACAACAATCATGTTTTCATGTGTCAGCATTTATCAAACTGTGAAATTCTATTTTAATCATGAAATTGTTCAGTTTTATATCAAAGTGTTTTTATATGATGTGTTTGCATATTAGTCAGAGCTTAATGAGTTTAGAGCAAAACAACGGATAGTCTTGGAGTGTTCTTTTCAGAGCGAGAGTCTCCCTTATCTCACCCGACAGGAGATCAGACCAGACCCAGACCAGGCTCTTCGGCCTTACTATATGGAGCAAAAATGACGTCTTCGGAGGCACTTCCTCTTCTTCTACACAGATTCATAAAACGGTTTTATACGACATAGTGAGTCTGAGGCAGGGACATGGAATAGTTAGGGGTATAAGTGCTCAGAGAGTTTTGTATTGAATTGTAAAGAGAATTAAATATATTTTATTTGAACTCTTGAATATCTTGGTCTTCTTTTCTGGTCAAATTATGAATCGACGGGGGCGCTGGTGAGCGTAGCCATGTAAAGACGTGTTTTTTAGGGCTCCTCGGCAGGGCTAAAACTTTTGCCTAAAAACTTTTTCAAAGCTTCTACAAATTGACCCTGATCTACAACAAGACTTTAATGAAACTTGCTAGTGCCATGTTTTCGCTTTATTCATCACCTAACCAAGAGAAACAATGAGCAAAGGAAGAGCGAAGGAGCAGGGCCCCAAAAACCTCGGGCTCCATTGAAGAGAAGCAGCCGAGTGCACCGTCGCCGGAAGTTAGCGGAATCATGGGAGCTATTGCTAACTCCGAAAAGAGGATTCTGGACCGCATTGACTCAAAGACAAACACCTTGAACGATAAGATTGACACATTGAGGGAAGATATGGTGAAGCAAGAAACCCGTCTGAAAGATGTCGAGTCCGGCTTGAACGAGTATTCTGATCGCACGGTGGAATTGGAAAGTGATGTCGGCCAGCTAAAGCTAGAAGTGGCTAGGCTAACTAGCAAGCTGGATGACCTCGAGGGCCGACAACGCCGCTGCAATGCCCGCATAGTGGGAGTGAAGGAGGGGTTTGAGAGCACCGGAAAACCTGCTGATGTTATTGCCACAATGTTGAAAGATGTTTTGAACTTGGGTTTCACCCCGTTACTAGACCGTGCCCACCGTTTGCGGGAAATACGGCGCCCGGACGGAGACCCCCCCCCAGAGTAATTGTAGTAAAGTTTCACTACTTTCGAGAGAAAGAAGAGGTTTTTTGTAAAGCTGCACTCTCCTCGCCTCTAACACTGCAAGATAGAAGGATAAGCATCTTCCCTGATTACACTGCTGATGTGGTGAAGAAAAGGGCTGCTTTTTCGGAGGCGAAACAACTGCTACGGGGCTGTGCTGGAGTTCGATTCGGGATGCTGTTTCCTGCGGTGCTTCGCATCACCTCGGCAACGGGACAAGATAAGAGGTTCACGGATCCATCTGCAGCAGTAGACTATATTAAGAAGGACCTAGAGTCATGAACACGTTCAAATGAAGAGTTTTCTTCTGTTCCTTTGACATGACTGAACTTTTGGTGACCTTTGATGCTCCGTTGGGACCTGCGTAATCCGCATTCAGAAATGAAGGTAGAACTCATTGTAGGACTTGTTGAAGTGTTATTTGTTTAAAAGTCGTTAAATTCATTTTCATGGCTTTTGGTATTTACATATTTTTACATATTAGCACATTTATGGTGAAGCTAATTTGCACATTTGTGCCCTGTTGGGGAGTCTGTTAGGAGGTTTAATGCTAAGTTTATACGTTTTACTGGTATTACGGGATGCGATCTCAGGGTTATTAGTAGATCAGCATGGGTTTTTGAGGCTCTTTTTATTTTTTATTTGGGGTGTTTGTGACGGGATTTTGATCCAAGCATATTCTGACTATTTCACCAGTGGATTTACAGAATAATGTTAACCTCTGTTTTCTAAGTTGGAATGTCTAGGGTATAAATAACCCAATAAAACGTTCCAGGGTCTTTACACACCTAAAATCTTTTACCCCTGATGTGATTTATTTACAAGAAACGCACCTCCGGGCTAACGAACAGGTCAAACTTAAAAAACCATGGATTGGACAGATTTTTTGTTCAAGACATGATGATAGAACCAGAGGTACAGCCATTTTGATTAGAAAAGGAATCCCATTTATACCATCATCAGTCATTGCTGATAATAAAGGGAGATATGTAATTGTTCAAGGCACCCTATTCGGAAAACGTATCACTGTGGCGAATGTATATGGTCCTAATTGGGACGACCCTAATTTTTATTCCTCTTTTTTTGGTAAATTACCAGATCCAACAGAATATCAATTAATAATTGGCGGGGACTTCAATTCTACACAACAGCTTCTTGACCGCTCTAATCCTAATCCTAATCGAAAAATTTCCAAAGCAGGAACAGTCATCCAACATTTTATGGAATCTTATGCCTTTGTTGATCCTTGGAGACATAGAAACCCAAATGCTAAACAATTTTCCTTCTTTTCACCTGTGCATCTGTGGATTCTTCCCAATGTGGGAGACTGTCAATATGAAGCTATTGTCATTTCTGATCACAGCCCGGTTAAAATGAATATAACATTTCCAGAATTCTCTAAACCAAAACGGGTGTGGCGACTTGATCCATTGCATATCTCCAAAGATTCATTTCAGAAATTGATTTCTGAATGAATTAACTATTTTATGGAATCCAATCAGACTCCAGGGATGTCAATGTCTGTTATTTGGGAAACATTGAAAGCTTTTCTTAGGGGGCAGATTATTTCATATACAGCGCATCAGAAAAGAAGGCATGCTCAGAAAATGGCCGAATAATATAAAATAACTGATGATCTGTATGCACAAGCCCCAACCCCTGATCTCTACAAAACTAAATTATTACTTAAAGAAGCTATACCCGATTTTTTTTCTAAGTAGTTCATAAAAATGCTTTTTACTACATACAAGTTGTATCATAATACATAATTTAAAGGAATAGTTCACCGTTTTTACATACTGACATATGTTCTTACCTTACCTTAGACTAGTTAATACCTGTCTGGTCTTAGTCCGTGCGCTCTGTCATGCAAACGGAGCAAAAACGGGAGCACAAACGCAGCCTCCTCTGGTCACTGTATAGTACCCAAAAGGTAGCTCCCGCTAGAAGCTACCAAACTCTTCCAAGTGTTCCCTATTAAATGTATATAGTTACGTGACGTGTTACACTGAAAAGTATAGTAACACAGAAATGTAAGAGAAGTTAGGAGCGCTACATCCGCGCACTAACTTCTCTCCGTACTACAAGTCACGCTGCTTCTATTGACGGAAGTGAGCGAGAGAGAAGTCTCCGGAGAGAAGTTAGTGCGCGGACGTAGCGCACCTCAGATTACTACGCCTCACAATATAGTACCCGTTTTATCCGCTAAGAAAATCGACTGTTACATTTCTGTGTTACTATACTTTGCAGTGTAACACGTCACGTAACTATATACATTTAATAGGGAACACTTGGAAGAGTTTGGTAGCTTCTAGCGGGAGCTACCTTTTGGGTACTATACAGTGACCAGAGGAGGCTGCGGTTGTGCTCCCGTTTTTGCTCCGTTTGCATGACAGAGCGCACGGACTAGGACCAGACAGGTACGTATTAACTAGTCTAAGGTAAGGTAAGAACATATGTCAGTATGTAAAAACGGTGAACTATTCCTTTAATTGAAAACTTGAGGTCATTGATTCCACTGTGTATGAAATTCAGGCAGTGAAAAGTACTGAGTAGAGTCTGAGCGGGACATTCTCCTCCACTCACAGAACGAGCAGTGAACAGCCTGCGTCCTCTAGTCTCTACAGCCTGTGTCCTCTAGTCTCTACAGCCTGTGTCCTCTAGTCTCTACAGCCTGTGTCCTCTAGTCTCTACAGCCTGTGTCCTCTAGTCTCTACAGCCTGTGTCCTCTAGTCTCTACAGCCTGTGTCCTCTAGTCTGTACAGCCTGTGTCCTCTAGTCTCTACAGCCTGTGTCCTCTAGTATCTACAGCCTGCGTCCTCTAGTCTCTACAGCCTGTGTCCTCTAGTCTCTACAGCCTGTGTCCTCTAGTCTCTACAGCCTGTGTCCTCTAGTCTCTACAGCCTGTGTCCTCTAGTCTCTACAGCCTGTGTCCTCTAGCCTCTACAGCCTGTGTCCTCTAGTCTCTACAGCCTGTGTCCTCTAGTCTCTACAGCCTGTGTCCTCTAGTCTCTACAGCCTGTGTCCTCTAGTCTCTACAGCCTGCGTCCTCTAGCCTCTACAGCCTGTGTCCTCTAGTCTCTACAGCCTGTGTCCTCTAGCCTCTACAGCCTGTGTCCTCTAGTCTGTACAGCCTGCGTCCTCTAGTCTCTACAGCCTGTGTCCTCTAGTCTCTACAGTCTGTGTCCTCTAGTCTCTACAGCCTGCGTCCTCTAGTCTCTACAGCCTGTGTCCTCTAGTCTCTACAGCCTGCGTCCTCTAGTCTCTACAGCCTGTGTCCTCTAGTCTCTACAGCCTGTGTCCTCTAGTCTCTACAGCCTGTGTCCTCTAGTCTCTACAGCCTGTGTCCTCTAGTCCTCTACAGCCTGTGTCCTCTAGTCTCTACAGCCTGTGTCCTCTAGTCCTCTACAGCCTGTGTCCTCTAGCCTCTACAGCCTGCGTCCTCTAGTCTCTACAGCCTGTGTCCTCTAGTCTCTACAGCCTGTGTCCTCTAGTCTCTACAGCCTGTGTCCTCTAGCCTCTACAGCCTGTGTCCTCTAGTCTCTCTCGACTTCAAAATTCGAATATCATTCTAAAATAAAAAATATATACATATTTGAACAAATACTAGACAACCCTTATAATTAGAAATGTATTTAAAGACTGCAAATAAAATAGTTAGCTCCCAAAGGTTTCACCGGGACGTGCTAGGCAGGTAACAGCTAAGCTAGCTAGCTGTTTCATGGTAACTTCCGGGTTTTTCGCAATCGCTTTTTGTCACTTTAAAACAACTCGCTCACAGGCTTCTCATTTCCCCTACGCTCTCATAACACGGAGCCACCTAGTTTTATTTGCGATCTGATACGTATGCTAACATTAGCATTAGCGCAACTTGTAAGCTGTGCAACAATCACTGATGAAATGGCACTAAAGCAATGCACTGCTAACACAATATATAAGTAAAAGAATACCATTAGTTTCGCCTCCGGATGTATTAATTTAAACATTAGAATATATTATAATATTTAATTATAATTTATTATAGAGCTCCTCACAGCAGCAGTAGAACACTCCATTGACTTGAATGTAATTCTTCCGATCATTTTTTCTTGATAACAGAACTCTCAAAACAATAATGACCGCAGCCCCAATGCAATCTCTGTTTGTAATTCAGGTGTGTACAATACTGCCATTACTTTGCAAGTACAACAATCAATCAACACCATTAAACGTCAATCGGACAATACAGTATACATATACATCCTTAACACACATGCACGGACGATTTCAGAATTTGCTGTCAACGTTTTCATGACAAAAATACTGTTTTAATGTGACAAAAAGCGATTGCGAAAAACCCGGAAGTTACCATGAAACAGCTAGCTAGCTTAGCTGTTACCTGCCTAGCACGTCCCGGTGAAACCTTTGGGAGCTAACTATTTTATTTGCAGTCTTTAAATACATTTCTAATTATAAGGGTTGTCTAGTATTTGTTCAAATATGTATATATTTTTTATTTTAGAATGATATTCAAATTTTGAAGTCAAAGCCCTGGTGTTAAGCAGCGCTGTAGCGACTAGAGGACACAGGCTGTAGAGACTAGAGGACACAGGCTGTAGAGACTAGAGGACACAGGCTGTAGAGACTAGAGGACACAGGCTGTAGAGACTAGAGGACACAGGCTGTAGAGACTAGAGGACACAGGCTGTAGAGACTAGAGGACACAGGCTGTAGAGACTAGAGGACACAGGCTGTAGAGACTAGAGGACGCAGGCTGTAGAGACTAGAGGACACAGGCTGTAGAGACTAGAGGACGCAGGCTGTAGAGACTAGAGGACACAGGCTGTAGAGACTAGAGGACGCAGGCTGTAGAGACTAGAGGACACAGGCTGTAGCGACTAGAGGACGCAGGCTGTAGAGACTAGAGGACACAGGCTGTAGAGACTAGAGGACGCAGGCTGTAGAGACTAGAGGACACAGGCTGTAGAGACTAGAGGACACAGGCTGTAGAGACTAGAGGACACAGGCTGTAGAGGCTAGAGGACACAGGCTGTAGAGACTAGAGGACGCAGGCTGTAGAGGCTAGAGGACACAGACTGTAGAGACTAGAGGACACAGGCTGTAGAGACTAGAGGACACAGGCTGTAGAGACTAGAGGACACAGGCTGTAGAGACTAGAGGACACAGGCTGTTCACTGCTCGTTCTGTGATTGGAGGAGAACGTCCCGCTCAGACTCTACTCAGCACTTTTCACTGCTTGTAATTCTTACACAGTGGAATCAATGACCTCAAGTTTTCAATTAAATTATGTATTATGATACAACTTGTATGTAGTAAAAAGCATTTTTATGAACTACTTAGAAAAAAAATCGGGTATAGCTTCTTTAAGGATGTATATGTATACTGTATTGTCCGATTGACGTTTAATGGTGTTGATTGATTGATATGTATTTGTTTATTGAGCGTGGCTAGCTCCGCTAGCTTCTCTACACAGACAAGTGTGCAGAAAAACTGCACAATGTAGTGACATGCGCTGATAGCTTGTTGTACTTGCAGAGTAATGGCAGTATTTTACACACCTGAATTACAAACAGATTGCATTGGGGCTGCGGTCATTATTGGTTTGAGAGTTCTGTTATCAAGAAAAAATGATCGGAAGAATTGCATTCAAGTCAATGGAGTGCTGCTGCTGTGAGGAGCTCTATAATAAATTATAATTAAATATTAGAATATATTCTAATGTTTAAATTAATACATCCGGACGCGAAACTAATGGTATTCTTTTACTTATATATTGTGTTAGCAGTGCATTGCTTTAGTACCATTTCATCAGTGATTGTTGCACAGCTTACAAGTTGCGCTAATGCTAATGTTAGCATACATATCAGATCGCAAATAAAACTAGGTGGCTCCGTGTTGCAGAAATGGGTATAGCGCCTTTAAGCAGCGCTGTAGAGGCTAGAGCAGTGTTTTTCAACCACTGTGCCGCGGCACACTAGTGTGCCGTATGATATTGTCTGGTGTGCCGTGAGAAATTCGTCTACTTTGTCTAAAAATAGCTGCATTCGCTGTTGACGAGCGGTGACTTGTTTTGAACTGTGAGTAACCATGTAATACTTTTTCAAATCAGTAGATGGCAGCAGATAGCTAAGTACTTTGAAACTGAAAAATTGGATGCGACCACAGGCTGTAACAGGTCAGCATTGTGGCGAGAAAGGTAAAATTGGATGCGACCAACAAATGTGGGAGGGAGCGAGACAAGAGCTTTGTGGCGAGTGAGAAGTGAAAGTGATAGAGACGTTTTTGAAAATGAATTATGCCGTTTCTGAACAGGATTAACATCCTCCGCTCTGCCCCGGGGCAGCTGTGGCCGCGTTGTAGTGGTTTAACTATGAAATGTACAATTTTTGTACAACAGCTCTCGCGAACGCACTTCTGAACTGGGTACCGAGCGCAGACCGTAGTCGAGTGGACAGAACCACAGACATGCGGACCGGACAGAACCATGGACTCGCGTTCAGGACCTCCCGTGTCCCTCATCCAAAACTCCTGAATTTAAAGCTCGGATACCAAAATGTTTCCCATGCACTAACAATGCATGTTCTTTGTGTGAGTTATTATTTGACTATTTGGGCAGAGAGTGGATTTTCTTAGTTTTTTTTCCACACAGTTAGTGCCACTTTATTCCCAAACTCTTGTTAATTGTATCGAGAAATATTAAATAAAGCTTAATTTCAAGGCCTGGACTTAAGCATTTTGATGAGAATAACTGTATATTGTGAATATAGGCTACAGAGTATACTGTATACATTATAAGATAAGATAAGATATACTTTATATATCACACAGAGTATGTACAGTATATATTTTTTTACATTAGTACTGTATACATTTTTACATTTTCTCTTGGAGGTGTGCCGCAAGATTTTTTCAGTGAAAAAAGTGGGCCTTGGCTCAAAAAAGGTTGAAAAACACTGGGCTAGAGGACGCAGGCTGGTCGCTTCTTGTTCTGTGAGTGGAGGAGAACGTCCCGCTCAGACTCTACTCAGCACTTTTCACTGCCTGAATTTCATACACAGTGGAATCAATGACCTCAAGTTTTCAATTAAATTATGTATTATGATACAACTTGTATGTAGTAAAAAGCATTTTTATGAACTACTTAGAAAAAAAATCGGGTATAGCTTCTTTAATCACAGCAAAATAAACAAAGAAGGTGCTAGCATTGAATTTAAATGACTAGATAATGTTAGCATAATCCTCACCATTACCTTTTTATCAATTCAAACTTTCTACCAGTTACTGGAAGACCACGACATTCAAGCCAAGGTAATAATTGGTCTATATACTATGATCCCTGATGGTTTGATGGTGGAATTTTGCTCCTGGTATATCATTTTTGTCTAAAGTGACAAGTGGTATTTGATTCATTTCGGCAGTGTTTGTCCGAAACATGTCCTATTATAATAATAGGATGGGCATTGGGGAGGGGTCTAGTGTGCAGCCATCACTCTCTGTTGCCCCACGTGACTCCCTTGGACTTTATTTTGATTTATTGTTCCAAATGATATCATATACAAACAAGATTGTTCCAATGTACTTCCAGCTTCACCGTGGATTATTAAACCAACCACAACAAACTTAGAAGTAGTAGTTAGTAAGTCATCTTTATTTATATAGACATATTTTACATATTTTGTTGTTGTAGGGGAAACCGGAGCACCCGGAGGAAACCTACACAGACACGGGGAGAACATGCAAACTCCACACAGAAAGGCCTGGAGATGGAATAGATCCCAGGACCTTCTTGCTGTGAGGCACAAGCTCTTGCTGCACCACCGTGTCGCCCATAAGTCATGGAGAGTTAGAGACCAGTGGCTCTGCCCCTCACATGATCTGAAGACATCAGAAGCAGCAGGAACAGCAGCAGGAACAACAGCAGTAACAGCAGCAGCAGTAAAAATATTATTAATGCATATATATTCATGTAGCACTTTTCAAAAACAGTGTTTACAAAGTGCTGCAGGTTCAGAATAATAATCAATAACAACAGTCACTGTATTGAAGGATTCTGTAAAAATGAACAGAATGTGTTTCTGTAGCTTTTAAGGCAAGTATAAAATAGGTGTGCTAGCCAAAATCAAACCTCACCTCTTGTTCTGGACATCCATGACGTTCTCTGGTGGGGCCGGTTTCACCATAATGACCCTGGGAGAGATCACAGGAGCCTCCTGGAGCTCAGCTTTGTTGCTCTCACTGCGTCTGTAAACAACATCCACATTAGAAGAGTGACTTTTTAGTTACATCAAACTGAAATGATGAAAGTCGTCTGGGAGCTTTATGGACAAACAATAATTATAATATGAATGCATATCATCAGCTTTCAGAGGCAAACACATCTCAAGGTGCTACGGCAGGTTCAGAATCAGAATCAGAATCAGAATCAGAATCAGAATCATTTTTATTGCCAACGTAAGTAACGGGAGGTCACAGACTTGGAAATTGCTTTGGCTCAGTGCAACAGTCAAAACGAGATAATAAAAATAAGAATAAAAAACACTTCTAAAGAATAAATTTAAATTTAAAATAGAGTTACAGTTACTATTTACAATATACAAGTGCACATGGTGCACACAATGTAAGGTGACAGCAGTACAGTGAAGTAAAGTGACGTATGATGGGCAGTAAAGTGACTTTATAAAGGGCGGGGGGACAGGTTAAGAAGTGTTCAAGAGTCCAACAGCAGAGGGGAAGAAACTGTTCTTGTGGCGGGAGGTTCTAGTCCTGATGGACCGCAGCCTCCTGCCTGAGGGGAGTGGTTGGAATAGTCCATGTGCAGGGTGAGAGGGGTCGGCTGTGATACGACCAGCCCGGCCTCGAGCTCGGGCGACGTACAGGTCCTGCAGCGATGGAAGGCTGCGGCCGATCACTTCCTCTGCAGAGCGCACAATGCGCACAGGTTAAAATCACATTCAAAGCATCATAAAAAGTTTAAGAATGGATAAAAAGGCAGAAGGTCAAACCTGACACCAAGGTTTGTACCACAGGGGGAAGGGGAAGTGTGGCCAGAAAAACGGATGCAGTTTACAGACAGAGAACGGCGTTGATATGGAGAGTTTTTTGGCAGGTTGTATGTGTGCTTTGTGGGAGATGAGAGCGAACTCAAACAGGATCTGTAAACAAGTCTCACCTGTCCTTCTGTTGGATCACATCAAAGGTTTTACGAGCCTTCTCTTTGGACATCAGAATCCTAAAAAATAAACAATTACTTATTATTATTTTTCACCTTATTTTTCATCATCAGTTTGTGGGCCCTGTATGAACCCAGCCAAAACCAAGCCTTACTTCTTCCTCTGTGAGTCGACAACCTCCTTTGAATTTCCAGTGCTTTCTGGTTGAACCGGTTTCACCAAAACCTTGGGAGTAGCCTTAGGAACTTTCTTGACTGGCATAAGTGTTTTCTTTTCATTCTTCCAACTGTAGAACAGAATATAAACATTAGAAGAGCTGATCTAGAAGGCGTTTGTAGAAATGTAGTAGTTTCAAAGGAAGCAGAGCAGCACGAAACTCACATGATAAAGTCATGTTCCATAATTTCAGCAGCAGTGATTCTGTCAGATTCTGTCAGACCTCCACCTTCCCACCTCTGCACCTTCTCCATCGACTCCCACTGATGACTGCTGTGGTTGTGTCCTTGGGCAAGACACTTAATCCCACTTTGCCCAAAAGCTCCCACTGAAAGATCAAGGCTATGCTCACACTCAGAGAGCAGCCGTCCTCCTGTGGACTCACCACCTGCAGAGGGTCAGTGAGGGGCTGGTGCTATGAGACTTGGGTGGCATCTCTGACTGCCACCCCCCTGACCCAGAAATGGATTAAAGGGTAGAAAATGGATGGATGGATGATTCTGTCAGATTCTTCAAGATAGAGCATGCTCTCGGCCAGGTCCAAGCATTAAGTCAGCTCTTTAGGGTTCTTCATGTAGAACTGTAAAAAACGGCATCATGCTAGGAATACAGTATAACACAAAACTCTAAATTTGAAAATATTTCCCAATTCCAGAAAATGTCCACTCAATAAACTTACCGGGACTAGTTCGGTCTCTGAAGGACATCTTTCAAAGTATAGATGTGTCAAAGCCGAACGAAAATTGGGAAAGTCTTCGAACTCCTCGAGAGTCTAGAACAAAAGATACAAAGTATTTACTGTGTTGACATGAGCTGCTTAAGACATGACAGAAGAAAGAAAAATACGTTACCTTCAGCGCCCATCCACCTCCAACACGTTTGAAGAACTCTCTTGTTCTAAGACCTTTGTCCAGATCATAGGAGTTTGGCAGTCCAAGCAGTTTGACCATAGTCTCCATCTGAAAAGACAGAAGAATGAAACAGGTGTAACTTTCTCGAGTTTAGGAAAGTGCAAATACTTTAGAGCAATGTTGGGCTTACATTTTTGAATTCACTCTCGTTGGAAAACATTTGAACTCTGGTGACCATTTGAACCAAAGTACAGCCTAAGGACCAGATGTCTATGGACTGATTGAAAGGGAGTCCCAGGATGACTTCAGGAGCTCTGCGTGGAACAAAACATCTTGTTAACAGAAAGTTTAAAGAACAAAAATAATGAATTATTGTTTTTCGAATGTTACAACATAAAACTTGCCAAAACTAATGTGTTTGAAATGGCAGAAAAACGGTCATGAACAGTGGGTCTGACCAAATAGAAGCAAATTGTGGGTATCGTGAGAACAGCCTCTTACCTGTATGCGAGCTGCTGCACCCTCATGCCTGCCTTGGCCTTCTTTGTCCGAACCACAGAACCAAAATCAGCCAGTTTGATTGTGGGAGTTTGTGCGATCAGACTGCAGATGAAGATGTTTTCTGCTGTAACCCCAGTGTGGATAGCCTTTATACACTCCAGGACTTGTAACGCATTGACCGTCTGTAATAGTTGTAACATTGAATTAATACATGGAAGAAAGACATGTCAGCCTTCAAATATTAGATATATTATATATCTTAATATATTCTTGGAAGGACTATTTAATAAGTTTTGGAGACTGGACACCCCTGCATTACAGTATAACTTCTTACCTGCTTCACAATGCTCCGAATGTGTCCCAGTGGTAGAGGGTAGCGCTTGTCGATGTAGGCAGACAAATTCATGTCAAGACATTCCATCACCAGAACCTTTCCATAACTGGTTTGGATCGAGTCTACGAATGTGACAATATTTTGATGATCCATCCCAGAGTTTGTGATCTTCTGGAGCAGCCTGACCTAAATGGTTGGACAGTATGGTTTGAGTAAGTTATTTGTGTGAACATTTATGAACATTGTTTTCACCTTTAGACCAATGACTTTAATTGTTTTAATGGTATATTTCTTATTTATTTTAATTGTTTGATCGAGGCCTCCTGCATTCTGTTCAAATACAGAAGCCTCGGAACTAGGTGTATTGGCTATCTCAGAGAAAAGATCTTACAACCAATCTTTAGCCCAATCACAAAATGGGAAGTCACATGTATACACATATAATATAATTCTAAATTGTATCCACTGCATGAAGTGATGGTATCATCACACGTGTGAATGCGTACCTCGCGCTGAGTCCGGTTGTTGGAATACGGCACCTTGACTGTCACAAACTTGTTGATGCTCTTGTTTTTGCATTTGACAAACTGCCCGAACTTTCCAATGGCCAACATCTTAATGACCTTGTATTCTTTAGGAAGAATGTCATTGATCTCCAAACAACCCAAAGGCCTAACCAAAGACAAAAACAGTTACATAATGACTTTGCCCTTGAGCTTTGTCCTTCAATAGTAGGTAATGTTTCTTACATGTGCTCCTCCTCTTCCTCGCTGTGAGCTGAATTTGTTAAGTCATCCGAAGCCTCCTTTCTGTTGAGTTAAGAAATGAGTTATTATTGGCGGAGATGGGGAGGAGGTTTGCGTTGTGAATTAAGCTGCTGCATGGATGGAGCTTCTGCCTGATATGAAGCTTGATTCGAGGCAGTGCTTGATTGCTGCCAGGTGAGAATTTGTGTGTGGTGATGCAGCTTAGAGTGATTGACAGATACTGTTGCTGTGAAGCAACAGTGGGAGGACTTTGAGCGGTTTACATACAGAGGGCTTGTGACAGCGTATGAGGCACCTTTGAACTTTGCTTCTTTACTCAAATTTATTGTAATTGTAAAATAAATGGCTATCACACATAAAGCCAAGCACTTCACATAGCAAAACAAAAATAAAGCCGCAAGCAGCAATGAATGGCTCTGGCACGACATATTTTTTGTTGTCATTGTGAAAAATATAAAAGAAAACTTAAAGAAATCTGAAGTAAAAGAACAAATAAAAAGTTTAATTTGTGTCAAAACCTACTGTTCATGACAGATGGCTGGGTGTTGCAGGATTTGTTTGGGAGTAATCCTGTCGTTCATGTCCATGTCCAACAGCTTTTTGAGGAGGTCTAAGGCTGGTTCTGTGTTCACTTCGTCCTCCTCCACAAGGTCCTAGAAACAAGTCATGGACAGGTCAGTGTTATCTCCACTTTGGAGGAAGGTAAAGCGACAGTATTACCGTGATCAGTTGAGTGAGGGAATCGAAGGATTCTGAACCGTCGTCCTCTTTAATTTCATAATTCACAGAAGCCTTAATGTCCAGAAGAGTTGGCTACATTGCAATTACATAATTCAATTGTTTTTTATATTTTTTTATGGCAAAAACCTAAACAGAATGAATAAATTTACCCTTAAGTTCCATCCGCTGCGACCTCTTCGGTAGAAGCTGATGGTATTACTCCCTTTATTGAGGATGTGCTCAGGAGGAGGGCCAAGTAGTTTGTGCATCACTCTCAGCTATATCCAGGAAAAGACACATTTGTGTTAGCACATTTTAGGACACATTACTCACAGCTTGTCCAGTTTGTCCAGTAACTTACAGCCTCATACTCCACATTAGGGAATAAATTAAACCCAAGCCACAGGTGAGACATGATGACTCCCAGGCACCACACGTCCAGGCCTTCGTCCCAACCAGAGCCTAAAATGACTTCTGGCGGCCTGCGGAAGAGAACAGAGTAATTCAAAAATATGATGCAATACAATACAATACAATATAGTTTATTGATCAAAACCTGATACTTAAGCGAGTTAGTCCCAACCCTATCAGTCGCCCCCTGCTGGTTATAGCTGCTGGTGCCTGAGTTACCTGTACGTCACATGGTGGATCGTCAAAAATGTCGCAGTCTCGCTTGCGGGGATGGTCAAACCAAAGTCGATCAGTTTGATGTGCAGAGGCCTCTGACTATGGTTCACCACCATCACATTGTCCATCTTCAGGTCAGAGTGGACCATGGAGCGCTCTTTGAGCACGCCCAACGCTGTGGCCACCTGCAGCAGAAAATCATAAATCAATAATGGTTCCCAAATTCAGTGTTTTAAAAGGACTTGATGTAATGACCTGTTGCACAATGCTGAAGATGTCCGACAGAGGCAGAGGATCATATTTGTCCACGAGTCCCAACAAACTCATGTCCAACAGTTCAAACACCATGGCTCTCCCCAACCTGGTGTCAAACGCCTCAATGAACCTGACGATGTTTCGCTGGTCCATCCTCTCTTCCATCAGCTCCTCGAGCAGGGCAATCTGAACACACAGGGCACACAGTTAGGTTAGACGGCATAGGTTTAGTTGTCTGTAATGGGGATTTATTCAAAGTTGGGTTCATGTATGAATCGTTATTAAACCAGTGAGAGGTGACTTTGACTAGAACACTTTTAGTGGTCGGATGAACAGGGAGTGTCCTCTTGAGACACTCTGAGGTGTCCTCCGCTGCCAACGCTGTGCTTTAAGTTCTGGAGACTAGCAGGACTTTCTGCTCACGTTAACGGTTATGCTGTTTGAAGAAAACGTTGTCCTGAAGAGTGAACGTAACACTCATTTGGAAAGAGTGTGAGGATTACACATTGTGCACGGGCAGAAAAGGACCAGACAGTGGGAGGGTCCTACTTTACACACAGAACACTCGCCCTTTGGAGACAGGGGGAGGATCTCGGAACTAACCATTAGCGCAGGACCCCACTTACCCTCCTATTACCAGCAAACACCTGGGATTGGATGTTCAGACTCCTGTACATCATGAGCTTTAAGACAAAATTTAGTTTGTTGATGTAGCACAATTCAGCAGCTCTGATGCTCAATTGTCTTTTATTGACAATCTTATTTTGACCCCCTTGGATGGGTCTCAAACGTGTGGCCCGTGGGCTATTTGCAGTCTGCCAAAAGTATTTTGTGACTTTCTATTGGAATCATTATTTAACTTAAAGTCACCCTGTGCAATTTCTACAGTTTCTCCATATGAAAAAACATGTTATCTAATATGAAATGGGACCTTTTTAAGAATATTTACCTCCACCATGTTTTTAAAATTGTCTTCATAGGCTTCAAAATATAAATCTCCATTCATTCATATGAGCAGAGTACTCTCCGTTTCAATGCGCCATCTTGAAATACAGTGGTGGATAAGGGACAAAAAGGATGCGGGAATCGCATTTTCGTTTCACAGGTGCACAGTTGCTTTCACCGTGCCT